CCAGAACCTAGAATCAGAACCAGAGCCATAACCAGAACCAGAACTCAGAACCAGAACCAAAACCAGAACCTAGAATCAGAACCAGAGCCAGAACCAGAACCAGAACTCAGAACCAGAACCATAACCAGAACCTAGAATCAGAACCAGAGCCAGAACCAGAACTGACATTTATTCATCTGCTCTATTTATTCAATCAAACTTAATTTATCTTTAAAACTTTGTTTTTTAAATGTTTTGAGTTTGCTGATTCAGCAGTTTATAATTTAATCTGACCAGCAGACATCAGATTAGATCAGATTAGATCAGATTAGATCCAGTTTTCTTCCATGTTTTTTTAAACTCATTCTGTATTTTTCCAACAGTCCATAACTCAGAATGTTCAGCTCCTTCACCCTCAACAATTTATACTTTTTGAGATTTTTKTTGCCATTTTTGCCCGATTGAAAACGCTGAGTCATGAATGGAGTTAGAAATCATTTGATTGATTAGCTGAACGTCAGATAGTTTTATATTTTAAACGGTTGTATTTATTGAGTTAACAGGAACTGAAACGCCAGCGTTTTGTTTTTACTTTCACTTTCATACAAAGACGTGATCCACGGCTTCTAAAGTGAGAAAAACAACCAATAAGAGCTCAAAATGGACGTTTAGGTCCTCCCCTTTTGATTGACACCTCATTCGACCACCTGGGTTCATCTGCCGGCTCTCCAGAGCCAATAATCTGAGAAATGACCAACTTCTGGTTTGTGTCACCCTGGGCTGGACTGACTGTAGCATTGGCCAATCAGCTCTGAGCTTCATTCTGAGGCTACAGCTGTGTAGCCAATCACCGTACCGATGTCTGGCTCACTGCTGCCAACTAGTGGTCAGAGGCTGAACTACAACATAAAAATGAACGGTTAGTTGGCAGCAGTGAGTCAGCCATTTGGCTCCTCTACCTCTTGAGGTAGAGGCTATTATTAAGTGTTGGGTGACCATATTAATTAATATTAAAAACCAAAAGCTCCAAAATATATATTTTCAAACTATTTATTGGCAAATTTAGTCTAATAATTGAAAACATGGATGAAATAAGAAATATGAAACAAATAAAATAAAATACACACAAAGTAGAACACAGCTAAATGTATCAAAAGTATGTCTATGTAATATTAGAATTTTCTGAGACAATGAATTTTGGTTTTTCATTTTTTTCCCTGTAAGAGGTTTTTATTTAACAGAGCTTTTGGACCAAAAAAATCGCAATATATCACCTTGCTTATAGTATTGCAATATATTGGAATATATCGTATCGTGACCCCTCTGTCATGATATGTATCGTATCACCAAATTCTTGCCAATACACAGCCCTAGTGATGAATTGTGGGTAATACACTTCACCGAAATCCGTAAAAATGCGGACTTCGCGTAACAGTACCCAAAATGGGCAGGGCAAAGGGCGGATGTGGAGAACGTGAGACACACTCAAACCCTTCAACATGAACGCACGTTTGAATGGAGGAACGAGGGTGGGAGTGAGAGTACCGGGACAGGGCCGGTGTGAGAACACGTGATGGCAGCCATTTTGTTTTAGGTCTCTGGAGGATCAGCTAGTCTTTMGATCAGCTGACTTCAGCAGTTTTCTCCTCGTTATTCAGCTACGGTGGTTTACGGTTGGTGACCCCGACGGGACTGAAGTCTGACTCTGAAAACTGATTAAAGGAAAATGTGACCGAACTGTCTCCTTTTTTAGTGGTTCTGCTTTTTATTCTTCCTTCTGCTAATTTCAGCTTCCTTCAGCTTTTTATTTTGGTCAATTTCAGCTTTTTTGGGGGGAATTTTTCAGCTATTTTTCAACTCCTGTTTGCTTCTTTTACATAAAACTTCTTTTTGTTAGTTTGGTGCCCTTTAGGTTTCCTTCTGCAGATCAGCTTTTATTTTCACAGGAAGTGAGATTCCTCCAGTTTTATTTCAGTTGACAGTTTTGAGAGACTTTTTGGGACGTTCTGGTTTTTGATCTGTTGTTTATAAAGTTAAACACTATGAAAAAAAGGTTTTGTAAMTAAACTTTGAAGTAAAAGAGGCAAAGTTTCGTCTCTTCACTGTCCGGTCTTTTCAGGATCCAGGTCCAGACTGAACACAGAGCTCTGATGGTTTCCTTTAAATAACTTTTTGTCAAAGATCAAAGGTCTAAGATCAAAGTTCAAAGGTCAAAGGTCAAAGGTCTAAGATCAAAGGTCAAAGGTCAAAGGTCTAAGATCAAAGGTCAAAGGTCATTCCATGCTGCATCTGGACTCATTCTATAGAGACGACTGAGGTTCACAGAGCTGCACAAGGCTTCAAGAACCAAAGTCCAGATGTTTACTCACAGTGCACAGAGGTCATCACACACACACACACACACACACACACACACACACACACACACACACACACACAC